TAGAGCACTTGCCTAGCATGTGTGAGGTCCTGGGTTTCAATCCTCAGCACTATGTAAAAATAAAGGTACTGTGTTCAACTACAACTAAAAAAAAAAAAAAAAAGAAAAAAAAAGAGTGGATAAGACTCTTTAAAAAAAATTTAAAAACCCACACTACACAGAAAGTAATTTCAGAAAGTGGATACGGGATGGCTCTTTGACCTTAGGGGTCATGATGAATATATTGAACCCAAGTCTAATTGAATAAATATGAGGGTCTGAGCACCATGTTACATAACATTATAAGGATGAAATATGTCAGATTCATTATGTGGAAAATTCCACAGGATAATCTGCCTGGTTTCTGGAACAAATGAATTATTTGGAAAAAATGGTGGGAAGAGGGATATGTGTATACCTGAGGTGGGGATCACATTAAGGAATTGGCTTTGTGAAGTGTGAAAGTGGTATGATGGTCATGTTTTAAAACTACCTGGTCAGGAGGAGTACATACTGGATATTCAAGGGATGAAATGATCCAAGAGTGTTGATTTTCTTTAAAATATTCCAGTGAGGGGAAGAACTGAGGAGGAGGGCGACAGATGAGACTGGCAAATCGTTGATAAGGTTAAGGTAGCTGACAGGTCCAAGGGGGCTCATTATGAATGTTGGTGATTTCCCTTATGTAAAGTTTAAAAAAATACATTGAAAAAGATAATTGTGCACTAAGCACTGATGACTTTGATATGCATTTTATTTATTCCTCAACAAAATGCTGTTAGATAGTTTGGCCTCCTCTCCTCTTTGCATAGGATGAAAGTGGCTTAGTGAGGTTGAGTCACCCAGAATTTCTGGTGAATCAGAATTTAAATCAAGGCCTGGTGCCCACGTCCTACTGGGCGATGGAATCTGGGTTTCCTCTGCGTGGAGTGAGCTGTCTGCAACATAAAGCTAAGAAAAGAAGGTGGTGGGAAAACACACACACACACACACACACACACACACACACTACACAGAAAGTAATTTCAGAAAGTGGGGATGGGATGGCTCTTTGACCTTAGGGGTCAAGCTTCCACACTGGGAAGAGAGCTCAAGAGCCCCACATTTGCTTTATTATGTATGGGGGAAACTTCAAAGGTTTTGTATAGAATGTTCTTCTGCCAAATAAGGTAGGAAGTGGGCTGTCCAGGCCCAATGGGTTACACCCAATTCCAGAGCTAGGAGAGCAGTCTCCCTAGCCAAGCAAAGACTGAGGTCACACACATTGCATAATCCACTAAGTGGGAGGAGCCACAAAATAACTTGCAATTCCAAACCAAAATCTCCTTGGCTTAAGGCCGAGTGAAGACACTAAATAGTTTAGGGGTGGCTCCAAAGTTTGTTGTTTGTTACCACCCAACTAATGCTAATTGATGACTGCAATAATCATCATGGCCATCAGTATTGACCTTAAAAAGTTAAATGATTCCCCAATCCAATTGTATTGTTTTTAACAGCAGCTAACAATTGTTGGGATGTTACCGTATGTTTCATGATCCATTGCTTCATTTCCTTCTCCCAGCACCATTATGAAATAGTCACAGTTGTACTTAAGTTATGCTTTGGTAATAAGCCACTTCTGAATTTCAGTGACTTCCAGTCCCAGCAGTTTAGTTCTCATTCACTTTTTAAGTTTGATATTTTTTTTCCCCTGGATCTTCCACTATAGAAACAATCGATCAGTTGTCCTTCTGCTGTAGGAACAAACATCCTGTCTAGGATGTTACTGGGGTTGCAGCAAAGTGGGAAAGAGAAATGGGTGGTGGTTCCTGAACCTTCTGCTTGGAAGCAACATAGAACATGTCCATGCCCATTCCATGGCCAAATCGAGTCAAGGACGAACCTGACATCAAAAGGACAGGGAATAATCCCTCATAGAGAAGCAGCTGATATTTGGGTAATAGAATCTACCACAATTAGTATCCTCATTGGACAGATGAGGAAACTGAGGCATAGACAGGGTGAGGACTTTATTCATGTTTCCCCCAGATGGGTGAATGGGACCCCAGGAAGAGATTAGGCCTCCTGATGCTGCACAGGCTCAGTGGTCATTCAGGAAATGTTTTATTTCCACTTCCACCTATGTTATATTGAGAGACTTTACTCTGTGTCATGTTTAGTTGTGTGTTTCTTTTTATGAAACAAACATTATTGAAATGCAGGATATGTATAAATTTGCAAAATGAAGAAAACTTGAAGGGAAATTTTTGGTATTTACTATTTTATTATATTTTGCATTTAATTGATTTTATTTTTTTAAATAATAAAAAAACACAACAGTGGAATGCATTACAATTCTTATTACACCTATAGAGCACAATTTTTCATATCTTTGTATATAAAGGGTATTTTCTATTTTAGTTTGCTGAATGGTAAAACTAGTTGTTATCCTGTTCTTTCCTGATATAAATTTGGTTTGTGGTCCCCAAAAACATTTTGCCTAAGGACTCTGTATCTCTGAATTGTCCATGCATTAAGATTTAAACCAATTTAGTCTTATTCAGTACAACCCAGGCTTGGGAGACATATCCTGGGAGACACATCCCCGACTCTGCTGCTGGTTAGCTGTGTGATCTGGGACAAGACTTTTGACAACTTTCAGCCTTAGGACACAGACAGGATGGGATAGCAATAAATACCTCATTTGGATAATTGTCAGGATTCAATGATATATTTAAAGTGTTTAATAAAGTTCCCAGACCATGATTGGGCATAAAATAAATGGTAATTACTATTATTAATTTTATTTTTTGGTTAGGAAAAGTTTTTTTGGAAGTTATAGTTTAAGGAAAAAAAGTAACTACAGACTATATATATCACAACTTAACACTTTCATTCCATACAACATCTCTGACAGATAAAGTACTAAATTCAAGTCTATTTCAATTTTCTTTACAGGTGCAGATGCGAAAAGGACTGTTCATGAATTTATTAATGACCAGAGAGACAGGTTTCTACTTGAGGTAGTAAAAATAATTTCTTTCTCCCAGTAGCCAAATAGAAGGCTTCTTGCATAGCATCACTAAATGTTCACCTTATATACCTTGTATTTTGTCATTACGTGTTACAAATCTATTAGCTGAAGAGATCAGTTTATTTCTATATTCATTCATTTGAAAAATGTTTGTTGAGTGCCTACTGTGTGCCAAGCAGTGAAAAACACAAAGACCCTGCTGTCAGAAAAGTCCAGAACCCTTCCAGCTTTGACTATGCCCACTTTGGCCAGAAGAAAGCGCCAGGTCCCCATTGAAGAACTTCCTATAAAAATGTCAGAGGCTTTTATCCTACCATCAAAAACCCCTAGCTAGCAGGTAGATACCTGAAAACATGATTACGTAATATCTTCCTATGAATATTCATTTACCATCAATGAAGCAGAGACACCACGCTCTTGACAAAGGGAGAATAATTACAAAAGAAATTCGTTGAATGTTGTTTACGATGCAGCTGTCAAGTGTCTAATCATCTAGAGAAGATCATCTGCCTCTTCTAAAGTCTTTGATGTGGATGAGTGAATGAAAACATGTTTAACTTTTCATAATGTCACACCACACATTCTGGAACGGAAGTCACTTGGCTGCCAGCTGCAGTCCACATGGAAGGTCTCCCTTGAAGTTATAAATATAACCTGATGCCTTTGTTTGTTAAATATTATTTTCTGGGTGCCATTTGGACCTTTATCCCAAAATCCTAGTGACATAACTGACATCCAAAGCAGTTTAAGGTTGATAGATTTGCTAGAATTATAGTCATTTGTATTAAATGTGCCTCGTTCTATTCTTTATCATCTCCTTCCTTCCTCCCAACCAGTTTGGTGAAGTGTCCCAAAGTCCCAAAGTGACTTGTA